TAAAGAATACCTGAGGAGTGAGTGTCTTTCTTGATATTTTCCAATGCCATTTGAAGAGCACCTAATATACCCCCACCATCAGCACCGGCAGGAGGCTTAGGCTTTGAATTACCATCCGCTTCTGATACCTGTTAACAAGATCAGATGAATCACGTTACAACTTACTCCTCACGCTGTGTTTAAATAAGGGCTTTGTATTGTATTTTACTTATTACCTGGCTTAATCTGTGAGCAGAAATGATGAAGTGAATACTTTGTCTGTCTGACTAGCTACCCAAATAAGCATGATGAGGCCGCCTTGCCCGCTCGAGATTTCCTGCATTGGTTCCGCAAGAAAAAGTTCTCTTTTTGGCCATATAATAAATCCTTAATGACCAAGCTAGTTTGGTCAAGATGACTGGATATTGGCCTCATTGTTTTTGGGGTTTTTATAGACCTCAACTTTCTTGGTTCATGAAAACATAAAAAAGAACTTGGTAAGTATCCAGCTATCTTGATCTTGTGTTTGGTCCATAATGCATGAATTGTACCAAGAGAGGATTTTATTTTTTAATTAGTTTGTCAGTCTGAGATATTTTTAGCTTACAATGTAGTAAATTGTTATTACCTTCTTGAGTTGTACACCAGTTCTGATATCACTAAGCAAGCCACTCCTTCCATCAGAGCTGCTACTCCTCCTTTCATTAGGTGTTACCTTCTTAAGTGAGGCTCCTTGATGAATCTGGTCCAGTAGACTCCCTCGACCACCACCAACAGGAGGAGGGGGTGGGGGACCACCTCGGCCCATGGGTGGTGGCGGTGGAGGCATTCCACCAACTGGTGGGGGAGGGGGAGGGGCTGGTGGAGGGGGTACACCAGCTGGAGGAGGAGGAGGTGCTCTAGACATGGGAGGGGGAGGAGGTGGCATGGCTCCTCTTGAGGGAGGAGGAGGTGGAGGGCCACCACGAGATGGGGGAGGTGGTGGTGGAGCTCCTCCTACCCTGGCTGGAGGTGGTGGTGGGGCCCCTCGTGAGGGGGGTGGGGGAGGTGGAGGTCCTCGGGATTGGCCTCTGGAAGGGGCTGGAGGTGCTGAAAACAAAAAGTCGAAAAAGTTTCTCAAGACGAGCATTTGTCAATCAAAACTAGTCTGTCTGGCTGTAGACTATCCTAACAGAAAATGCTGGCATAATTTTACCATAGAAAGTGACCTGTTGTACATACACCTTATCTAACCACCATAAGATATCTCACAAAATCATCTTTCACCATAGGCAGTTTCCATGTGCTAGTAATCACACAATCATAGTAAAGCCTTTACTAAGTCAGTGACAAATGGAAACATTGACATACACTGGCCAAGAAATACTAACAAGTAACGTTTCTCTTTCATTATATGCAGTTATGAGATAATCACCTAAATCTCTAGAAGGCAATGTTGGAGGGCCCCTGAATTTCTCCATCTCTATTTCCCGTGTAACATTTTCAATTCCACCCCTTTTCTCCACAAAGTCATAAATGAACTCCATGGTTTCCTTTGTTTGCTTCTGTTCATCAGTCACACCAACCAAATCAAAGAGTTTTTTCCAGTTGTCATCCATTTGCACATTGTCAATCTGCAATAAAAACATGAATGAGTTTTAAAAAAAATCAGTTGTACAGCTGAGTGTTGGATTAACATCTAAATAATTGTGGAGGCAAGTGTGGCTGAGTGGTTAACACCTCAAACACTGGATCTGGAGGTCCGGCGTTCAAGCCTCGCCCATTGTGTGTTGTTTCCTTAGACAAGGAACTTCACTACACCTTGTCTCTCTTCACACAGGTGTATAAATGGGAATCGCTGACATACTGCTGGGGGGTAATCCTGGATGGACTTGCATCCTCTCCCGCGGGTAGTAATACTCCTAGGTGCTCTATGCTACGAAAAATGGGATAAGCTCCGGCCATTTGGGCCTTTGGCCCGTGTGCGTCTTTACCTTCACCTTACATAAATACCACCACCACCTCCACCAACAGAAACCTTTTGGGTGGTGTTGATTATAAGTCATGATTATTTTGCTTATCATTAACAATATGGAACCAGGTACAGTGATTTTGTTAAAAAATAGTATTGTGAATCCTGGGACTCATCTAATGAAAAATGACTCCAGACGGACATTACTTGCAATTACTACAATATTAATAGCAATGAAATGCTAACTAATTGTGGGTATGCTTACATCAAATCCACCTTGAGGATCCCAACCAATGTGTCCAACATGCCTGTGAAAATGAAAAAAAAAATGTTTTGCCAGCAATATTTGATATTTACCAATATGTTATTTACAGTATCTGCTTTAAAATAAATCTCATGACCGGAACATACTAACAGTATTAGTTTACCATTACAACTTACTTAAAGTTCTCAGGTTTTCCAATGTCATCTTTGGTGAGCTTTCTCTTTGCACCTTTCTTGTTATTACCAGAGCTGGACTTATTCTCTTTACGTTCCTTACTTTTTTTTCTTTGCATTGATGGAGCATCCAATGATGAAAGACTTGTCTGAGATGGTGAGTGGCTCATGTTGCTAAAATTATCTTTGGAGAAAACACAATCATAAAACCTTTCTTGAGTATGAAGTATTGGGTAATTGAATCCCTTGGTTCCATACAGACAGGTAACAGGAGAATCTACCAGTTTATATATATCTACTCTATGAAGAAACACATGTGGTCACAAAATAATAAATTGTAACTTCTTTTTGCAAAAGTTTGTTGTTCTTGTTATTTCAAGGTAAAAGTACAGTGGATGTTTCTTCTGTCTCCTGCTAGGTGCTCATTGTTTTTGGCGGCTTGGGATCTGGGCTAAATATGTCATGGCCGGGCCCACTATGCTTGTTTTCCTGAAAACAACTTTAAAGTGGATGGACTGGCCTCCTCATGGAGGAGTTTGATAATTTTTATTATTATCTCACCATTGTTCTGTAAAGAAGCTCTTTTGTTTATGTCCACATTTCCTCCTAGGGCTGGAGGGGGTGGTTGCTGTTTGTTCCTTGAAGTGTCCTTTCTTCTATCTACAAATCAGTCAACTTTTTGTTAGTTTCAGAATTTGATACATGACTCTGTACAAAAAACTTTGGCGCCTGTATGGCATAAACTTATCAGTAAAAAAAAGAATGTAAAACAGGATCACAAAGGCACAGACAAAATCCTGGATATTTTGGCTTTATCCCCTTTGTGGGGCAATGGATTGAGCCAAACATGGGCATCCATATACTTACATGTATATTGCCCATACTTGCATAATGTATTTATGAAGGGGGGGGGGGGGGGTTGGGGGGGTTTTTCTTGGAGGTACTGCAAAAGAGGGTCTCCCAATTTAAGCTCCTTGGGGGTTGGTCTCTCTTTTAGGGGTTACTCTATGTTATTCCTTTTTTATTTTTTTTTTTCAATTTTAAACCATCACCTTGCCGTCTCTGTTCTTTTGCCTTCAGCTTCTTTTGTATCTCATTGAAAAAGTTATGGGCTTCTTCAATATTTGCAAAATTAAGGCCAGCATTATAAGTCTAAAAAAAAATATGCACATATCATAATATCAATTCTTTGTCAAATTTTACTTTTGATAAGTGTATATTTTGCACAAAAATAAGAGTCAGGACAGAATGGTCATAATGAAAGAAGAATCAAAAGCAGTTTAGGTTATTTACAAGCCCACACTATGTAATAGCCTGCGTAGCAGGCACTTGGAAGTAGTGGGCACGAGAAAGAACAGGCCTGCGATGGGGAGACACACAAAGGGAGAGGGAGTGCCTGCCCGAAAGGCCCACAAAAACTGTTTCAACCTGCATTGTGTGAGTGTGGATACTTCCAATAATATTGGTTGCAAGGCTCCCGAGGGGAAAAGTAACTGCGCTAAGAGAAAAAACTGTCAATTAATAGTACATGGACAACGTTGTGAAGGTCTTATATTACACCACCAGCTCCTGATACCACCAAATGGTATAACTGAAGTTCAGGTCTTGGAGGTCACTTCAATCTGGTTTAATGGGACTAAAATATATGTGGCTGTAATCTCAAAGAAAAGTTGGAGTGTTCAAATGGTATTCATGATGGAAAGAATTGACATCAGATACGCATTAGCAGAAGTGGCGGGAGACAAATGATTTGCCAAATCGATGAAATGAAGATCAGAGGAAATATTCTTTGCTCAGGAGTACTTGGTGACTTGTGTTGTCGATGGAATGCATACCATCAAAACTTGGACAGGATTGATGAATTCAAACACTTACCGGGGGCATGAATTTGAAACACCTATAATTTCACTAGTGTATCGACCTCAGGTCTGTTGTTTATGTCTTGTTGCTGCAACAGAAAACATCTTGCTACAGTTTGTGTACGTTCGCATAGCAAGACATGCCTGTTCCAAAAACGGTTGCCACTTCGCGCAGTAAAAGCAATGTTCATTTTCCATGTACACTCTGTTCGTTGGTGTCTGTACAGTTGCGACTAAGGAAGCTCAGAGAACAATATTTAATAGCTTTTTATAATACCCACCATGCATTCTTTAAAAGATACCCATTTTTGACTTTGCTCTTTCCTATTTATTATGGCCCTGGTTAAAAATGATTTAAAGCTGTGTGTTAACTGACACTTTATTGTTCCATAGCTCTATAATCAGATAATCCAGCTGATCTTTATAACAGATATATTTAGACCGAGGATAAAATGTACAACGCTTTTTTGCTTTATGCTTTGTTTGTGTGAGGTCAGTTGTTTTCTGTCAAAATTTTTGACAGATCACACAGTGGCTGCCAGGTAATTATATTCCGGGCTGGAGATGATTTTCATGGGCCTTCCGGGCAGGTGTTCCTTCTCCTGTCTCCCTCTCGTGTGCCTGTTCTTTCTTGCGCCCACTACATCCAAGCACCTGCTACGCAGGCTAGGACAAAGTATATGAGCTTGTAACTAACCTAAACTGCTCTGATTCTTCTTTCAGTATGACCATTCTGTCATGACTCTTATTTTTGTGCAAAATATGCACTTATCAAAAGTAAAATTTGACAATGAAAATAATACAACTTTTTATACATTGACAAAGACAAAATTAACCCATTAAAGTCTATTCTGTGACCAATTATAGACCCCATCTTAGTCACTTTTGGGCAAATAGGAAATTTTCGCTATCCCAACTTAGTCACTTTCTATTTTAATGAATTGACCCATTCTTTAGATTGAATGAAGAATACTTCACTTTCCTTCTACAGTACAAACATTCTGGTATGTTTGCTAACCGTAAATATGAACTGTCTTATCCCCAAAAATTGGAAAATGTGCGACGTTATGATAGTCAATCCAGTTGTGAAAATGCGACCCCATCCAGCAGCACATCCCATTAGCCTCTTATAATGAAGTACCCCCCCCTTTAGAGTAACATTACATGTACAGGAAAATGACATTTAAGGAGCTGTGTCACGGCCCCCTGGTCTAATATGAAAATAGAAACATGGCAACGGTTAAACAATCTCGGTATATGTAGGCTTTGGTCTATTCTCTCTCCCAGTTCTTCTCTACTGAGTGTAGAGGCAGCCGGGTCGAGCAGTTAGAGCGCTGGACTTGCAATTTGGAGGTGCCGAGTTCAAGTCCCTCCCTGACCGCTAGCTGGATTTGTTCATGGTAGTCCTGAGTTCAAATCCTTGACCATGCTTGTAAATAGCCAGCTTGTTTGCCTCTGGCCAATTGGGATTCTTGACCCTGTTACATTGGATTTGAATTACTTGTTTCAGTCGTTTTATCGGCCCCACTAGCATAAGTGCTATAAATACTGCTGAGGGTAAATAAAAGAAAAAAAAGGCGGATTACAAATCCCTTGGGTATTTTTCCATTGGGATCTTGCAATAAAAGTACAAAAGTGATCCAATAACCCCAATCCACACTAAACATTGGCAGCAAATGTCAACAAGTCCTGCTATACCCACATATGTCCCCATGGTCAATCCCCCTGGATGATCGTTGATAAGTGCGTAACTCCGAGAAACTTAACACTAAGCTGGGTAAGGGACAGGGGAGGGGGGGCATTAGCTTAAAAAATTATCCAGACCTTACGTCATAATTTCCAGCTTTAAGATAGCTAGATCGATACATTTTAATTCACTTGGCAAACCTCGGTGTCATTTTAAAATGTCTTTTTTAGAACAACTGATATAATAGCAGATAAATAAGTCTAATATCATAAAATACCAGCTTTATAAACTCACGTCGCCTGCAAAGGTGTGAAAGTAAGGCCTTGGAGAAACGTATTTAAACTGATTGTACAACTCTTGCTCCCACTCCAGAGTCTTTGTCTAAAGCAAATGTGAACAACAAATCAAAATCAAATGGTCATTCAGCTGAGCGATTACAAAAGATAACAATGAAATACTTGGTGCGGATTTCATCGAGAGCAACTCACATACCACAAGGCTGTACATGCGAAGGAAGTACGAACGCTTTCCATTGTCCTTTACAAAGCAAATGACTCCTGTTAATTTCTTTTTCCATCTGTTTCGAGATTCAGGTGGAGCAACGTAAAGCTGAGCTACGGATGTAGCTAAAGTCTGAAAGAACCAAATGTGATGCAATGCAAAGTCAAGTTTGGGCAAAACATCTAGGATTAAGCCTATTCAATTTACAACTACGGACTGTGAGTCTTATATGGACTTCAGGGCCTGTCGAGAAACAACTTACCGTACAGCGACGACCTATCATACTAAAAATCTCATCATTTTCGTACTGTTTTAGACAGGACGATGGCCTATTGAAGCTATCAGATTTTGGTCCTGACATGATTTCACGTTTGAAGCCTCTGACACTGCGAAAATGGTTTCAGCAAAGTGCTATCGAAGTCGCTTCCAAATATAAATCGAATGGTTCCTCAGTTCCGCGATGACGTCATTCTCATAAAAGCGAGGCAATACACTGTCCCTGGGTACCAGAGGCTTTTCATGCGCGGTTTCCGGTTTCTAGGTCTTAAAAAGTGACCCGCGCGAAAAGCGCCCTTAATTTCAGCATCCGTAGGATCAGATCCTTGACCCGCCATTTTTGTTGTTGTACCATGCGTTTTGAGCATGCACGCACTCAAGCAATCATTCAGCGGTTACAGATGTCCTTGCAGGGGTAGGCTCAGTCCCGGCTCAGTCGATCGTGGTGCTGTGGTGCTGGTGAGCCAAAACTTTATCTTATCGCGGGAACCGTGGCACAAAAAATAAATATTCTGCGATTGGAAAATTGAAATCCTTATTTTCGGATTTTTTTTTTTAATCGAACAAGAAATCCAGAAACAAACTTTACGTTTGAATTTCTTGATGAAAATCCATCCCTCCCGTAACCTGCGATCGCAGGTTATCAGGTTATCCCTCCCGAGGATCCGAACTGATTCGTGGAGCCCCAGTTAATCTCGTACCAAGATCTGGGTATGAGATTAGCGCCCAGTGCTACAAAGGTCCTAGTTTGGCGGAAACACNTGTTGTACCATGCGTTTTGAGCATGCACGCACTCAAGCAATCATTCAGCGGTTACAGATGTCCTTGCAGGGGTAGGCTCAGTCCCGGCTCAGTCGATCGTGGTGCTGTGGTGCTGGTGAGCAACCTCGTCCCCAGGGCGCTTTTCCCTGGCTTTGGGTGTTTGGTGGTCATGTGACCGGCCGATGCCAGGGCCTTTTCCCGCCCCGCCCCCAAAGCCAGGGAAAAGCGCCCTGGGGACGAGGTTGGCTGGTGAGCCAAAACTTTATCTTATCGCGGGAACCGTGGCACAAAAAATAAATATTCTGCGATTGGAATATTGAAATCCTTATTTTCGGATTTTTTTTTTAATCGAACAAGAAATCCAGAAACAAACTTTACGTTTGAATTTCTTGATGAAAATCCATCCCTCCCGTAACCTGCGATCGCAGGTTATCAGGTTATCCCTCCCGAGGATCCGAACTGATTCGTGGAGCCCCAGTTAATCTCGTACCAAGATCTGGGTACGAGATTAGCGCCCAGTGCTACAAAGGTCCTAGTTTGGCGGAAACACCTCGGAAGGCAAAACCAGTCAACGCGCGACATACCGCTGGAGGGTGCGCCGCGCCAGATCTTTAGTGGACCTGGATCAATAAAATTTGCAGTACCAAATTTTAAAATTAAAACAGTCAGAACTGATCCTTACGGCAGGAAGAGTAATAGAAAAGTAATAGAAAAAATAAATAAATAAAACAAAAATAAAATGGTGAATTATATTTGCCCGATATTTAGGTTTGCAACACAAATCTTCAACGGGCCCCCGCTTGTAAAATACCGTATATATACAACACAAATATAATTCACCATTTTATTATTTTTTCTTTATTTATTTTTCCTATCAAGCCTCCTGCCGTAAGGCACCAGTTTACTGTTTACAATTGTCGTCAAAAGTGTTGGGAAGGCTGTTTTTCTCCCTTTTTTCCCCTTCCTCCCCTTGCCGCCGCTAACCCGGTGTTGAGCAAAACTTTATGTTTGGACGCGTAATTTTTCTTTGAATAGGGCCGGGGGCACAGGGGATATTTAGCAAAAGAGAAAACTCTCTTTTCTGAGGATTAAAATGGACGTACTGTTAAGTTGTACAATCTTCCCAACTACTTTTCTCTGGGAATGTAGTTTGGCGGGTTTGGCGAAGTTCCAACTCGCTCAATTTTTCAAAAAAGTGGGTAAGAAAGAACTAATCACCAATCCTTTCCGACATACCAAGAGATATCAACTATTTTGACAATCATCCCCAAAGTCACCCCTTATGAAAGTGTATTTGGTAGAAGTCAGCCATATGAAACATGTGTTCTGGTACGGTATTTTGCATTTCCTTATGTTGGATCCAAAGAGAGTCGTGCTCGATGAAAACGAGAAGACCACTCAAAAGGTGGTGTACCGCCATAATAAGCTTCAGTGTTCTGTCTTGCTGGCTATTAACCTTTTCCCTCACGTTTCTTCGTCTCTTTCCTTTCTGGTAGGTTTGTTTGACGAACTGACCAAGCTCTTTTTTTGTTTTGGTACAGAAGCTTATAGGTGCCATCCGACATCGGACATTTGATATACCACATCCGGAATCAACATCTGAAATCCGAGATTCGACATCCAACATCCGAGATCAGAGATCCGAAAAGGCCCGAACGGCCGAAAATTTTTTCGAATACCGAGCAGAAGTCGAGCAGAATAAGAGTGTCGGAGCCAAATTTTTCAGCAGAATAAGCTTTTTTTACGAGCACTGCCAGCAGGCAGAATAAGCCATTTTACGAGCAGAATTTATCCAAGCCTAAGGTGGCGTCGAGGACTGTCGGCTGTTTTCTCAGGCTTGCCTTTTCCTTAGTCCCTACGGCGTCTTCCCAGGCTTTCTCGGTCAATACATTTCGGTGACGTATGCGACACGAAACGCAGAGAACGCGCGGAATAATGAGTCCTGGGGACTAGGCAAGGCGAGTTGATTTGCCGGATAAGCCGGATAGTCACCCCAAACGTTAGCGTTTTTATTTTGCTAAGAAGTGAGTTTTCCCGCGCGGATCGTCTGGGGGCTCAACCAACGTCCCGGCTAGGGAGCTCATAACCCTGCCCGGACATAAATCCCGTGACTCAAAAGAAAAATATTAGACTGCTCGCAGTTTTTTCCGTCAGCTATGAAGGCCGCAGTTTGAAAGACTGGCAGAGGCGTTGCCTGCTTAGCAGGCGCCGGGAAGAATTTGGTCGCGAAGAAAGAACGGGCGCTCGAGAGGGGGCGCGATTCATTCAACCAAAATTTCCGGAAATTTCGGTCCAAAACTTAATGGATCGGTTCGGTCCAACCGGAAAAGTTTCGAAAAAACGGTCCACCTTTTGAGGTGGACCACTTTTCCCGGTCGGACCGGTTGGAATTTTGGTTGAATGGATCGCGCCCTACTTCTAGCAACGGATTCAACTTTCGAATAATAAATTCATCAATGGATTCTTGGGGGGTACGCTTGACCAGGTTTGACTGTAATTGTTAATTATACAATATTTGAAGAGGACAGATTCTTTTAAAAGCTACATTGAAAGAAAACACCATAACGACTCCTAAAGTTTGAATTTAAATNTTATCCAAGCCTAAGGTGGCGTCGAGGACTGTCGGCTGTTTTCTCAGGCTTGCCTTTTCCTTAGTCCCTACGGCGTCTTCCCAGGCTTTCTCGGTCAATACATTTCGGTGACGTATGCGACACGAAACGCAGAGAACGCGCGGAATAATGAGTCCTGGGGACTAGGCAAGGCGAGTTGATTTGCCGGATAAGCCGGATAGTCACCCCAAACGTTAGCGTTTTTATTTTGCTAAGAAGTGAGTTTTCCCGCGCGGATCGTCTGGGGGCTCAACCAACGTCCCGGCTAGGGAGCTCATAACCCTGCCCGGACATAAATCCCGTGACTCAAAAGAAAAATATTAGACTGCTCGCAGTTTTTTCCGTCAGCTATGAAGGCCGCAGTTTGAAAGACTGGCAGAGGCGTTGCCTGCTTAGCAGGCGCCGGGAAGAATTTGGTCGCGAAGAAAGAACGGGCGCTCGAGAGGGGGCGCGATTCATTCAACCAAAATTTCCGGAAATTTCGGTCCAAAACTTAATGGATCGGTTCGGTCCAACCGGAAAAGTTTCGAAAAAACGGTCCACCTTTTGAGGTGGACCACTTTTCCCGGTCGGACCGGTTGGAATTTTGGTTGAATGGATCGCGCCCTACTTCTAGCAACGGATTCAACTTTCGAATAATAAATTCATCAATGGATTCTTGGGGGGTACGCTTGACCAGGTTTGACTGTAATTGTTAATTATACAATATTTGAAGAGGACAGATTCTTTTAAAAGCTACATTGAAAGAAAACACCATAACGACTCCTAAAGTTTGAATTTAAATTTTCATGGGAGGTTAATGATAAACCAAAAATGAGAAAAATAGATAGCATGATAAATAGGTAAGTTACCATGAAAACAGGTCATGGTCATGCCAGCCAGTTTTGACTTCTGGAAAGCGCCCTTAGATAAAGATTGCCAAAGAACGTTTATCTGAGTGGGATTGGACAACTGTCGGCACGTACGCCATGTCGCAACTAAAGCAAGGAATAATTAATTGTATCATCAAAGGTCGTAAAGCTTTAATTGGAGGGAATGGAAGGAAGAGGGGGTTTCAGTACTCGACGGGAGGACAGGGCAGTTGTAAGCTTAGATGATAAATTTCTAGAACAGTTAAGCAGGTTCTTTGGGCATTCATGCAAGGATGAGAGGTATATTAAACCTACACTGATAGAAGTACCTGTAAGCGCCACAACCCCGCAGCTATCGACGTGGCAGGAAGCGAACCTAAATTCGATTTGTGAGGACTTTAGACGCATTAGTGTGACCCCGGTAATAGCACAAGCTTTTGAAAGGGCAGTTAACATCTTCAATGAGACAGGTAAGAGTCAAGACTAGGTGCTAACCAATTTGCCTACAGAGCTGGTGGAAGTTGTACCAATGCCTTCATTAAGATGCAACACACTAAGTGCTTTAAGAACTGCTTTGTAATTAGGCTATGCTTTAATTATAACTTAGAGATACGATTCTACTTCAATTGTAATAGTTAGCATTGTTGTTAATAAAATTTCTTCTTCTTCTCTAATTATTGTGATCATTATTATTATTTTCTCTTTTATGGCTGAAAAGTCCCGAGTGTTACTTGGCGAGAATCCTGCATAAAAAATAAATTAACGTCATCTGTCACGGCAAACTATTTAAACCTAATTTGAAGAAGTTTTATCACAACAACAAAGCATCAACGGAAAAGTCATAAATAATCTTTAATTTGATTTGCTGAGACACTTTGGGTTCAGCTTGGAACAAGATTCCAGACTGATGAGAACAAATAGTAACACTTTTTCCGCTTTTCTTCAGTAAATAACCACTTTCTAAGGCTTGAAATATTAGTGGCGCTCTAAGAGAAATGGTTCCTCAACTTGGATGTGTCCTTCTTTTCCGTCATTTTAACGCGTTAGGGATGGAGATATCTGACATGTACACTCATTTCTTCCTGAACTGTTTAAAGAGTGGATGGCGGTTCTTGGTTTGTTTAGCGCCGCTTTTGTACTCAAGGTATATCATGTCATCTGCTCCCGACATGGACGCCATAGAACCTTGTCGACGAGACACCAAAGAGCTCTAAAATAAAAAAAGACCACTGGGAGATCATATCTCATTGTAAAGGAGTAGTACTCTGTCACAGGGTCACAAATGCTGACTGACTTAATTGAAGTGTTTGCCACATTTAGCTTTACAAAATAGATATAAATGCAAACACAATTAACTGACATCTTAGGACTGTCAAATCATAACCATACTCTCTGATCTCTGACTCCGATGTCACACACCTGTATTCTCTCCTACGGGATTGCACACCCACCCTACCCTCCCAGATCACAGCATGAACATATAACAGTGAGCAAATCCCATACCTAAAGTATAAAACTCCCCAGCCCCATCATACTAATGACATTAATTGTTACTATGCATTTCCGGATAATAAAACTCTGGCGATGGCGACTGTATAATTCTCCCCACTCCAATGATACTTCTCTCTTGCCACCCGCCTGGCTTGAATGTACCTCCACTCACTCGTGGCCCACAGCTCCCCTCGCTCATCATAAAAAGCACTCACCGATGAACTGCTGCGGCTGACTGAATCAGATGCGACTCTTTCTTCATCAGCATCTGCGTCACTAGCAGCAAGGACCTGCACAGCAAAGCGTTACAAGATATGTCACAAGATTGAGTGTAAACAAACACACTGTCATCAACAGTCATATTCAGGAGTACACTCACTAGATGATGTCACCAGAAGGCTGTGAATAGTCAGACAACAAACAAAATATTCCCCGAGACCTTCAGCTGGATTAAGCATAAAACTATTTTTGAGAGGTTAGAGGAGGTCATTTCTAACAGATTTTCCAAATTAAACAGTATACACACCTGCTGAAGTAGCTCTTGTTGCTTTCTCTTGTCTCCCAGTTCTAAATTCTCCTGTTTGACAATATGAATGCTCAAATGTTAGCAGTTACCAACTGATCTTTGAGCTTAAGAATGGAGTGTTTGATCAATGACATCAATTGATAAGTGGACATCATTAAACATGAACGTTGTACATGTATCCCAATGCAGCCTCACTGTTATCCTATGAATTTGTTCCTTCGCCAAAGTAGCAAATTTAAGAAATGCCCTGAGCATTTGTTTGGATTAAAAAGACTACTCTTACGCAAAGTATTGTCAGTGAAATCTTGTCGTCGGATTGGAAAAGAAGTATAATTACATTTTCTGACGCAATAATAACCTATCTTACGTTCCAACAAACAGACCTTCACTAATTCACGCTTGAATTACAAATTTAGTCTAGTTCACGTTTTATTTATTTAAAACCATCAAAGGCTACATATAGACACGCAAAGGAGTTTGCGAATGTAATTTCTAAGTGAAAGGAAAATATTACCTCCTCCATACCAGCCAGTCTTGTAATGACCTTCAAAATAGACACAAACAAGAACAGTTACTCACGGAACAGAACAATTACAAGCGATTGCACCTAATAGAACTGTAACGCAGATCAGCGCACCTTGAAACTGTATCCCTGATTCACCAGAAACCTTTGTCGTTTTGAAGAATAGTACATTTCTTCAGTATCCTGTTGGTAGAAAAACATGGTACCGCATACTAAGAAATAGTTGTGCGGAAATGCGAGAACGTACGCTATTACTTGATTGAAAGCAACAGAAAAGGAAGATCATGACAATCAAAGTCCCATTCAGTTTGCATGAGTTTCCTTGACAAGGCCCCGGAATAAACTTGTCAATTAAGATTTCTTATTTACAGGATCAAATGGTCCTTGACTTGTGTAACCGGGGTATAAGAAAAATATCTAGACGGGCTGAAGGATTTGTAAGTTTACATTTAGTGTAACGTTTAAGGGCAAGCTAGGGCAGCTTTTCTTGAAGAACAGTACCCCAGATACTAAATGTTAAGTATGTTTTGCTCGAATATTATCTGACATAGTCCGGCTCAGTAGTTAGGAGAGGACGACTTGCGATGTTCTCAGCTAAAAAGAGAGTTTGTCAATGTCAAAAAGACAAAGCTAGTAGATTCTGCCCAAACGAATGCAGGCAAGGATCAAAGCCTATGAATTTGTGTGAGATGCTAATAGATGGCCTTTAGTTTTTATGCTTACCGTGGAGACTAGCGTATAAAAGAATGCGTTATATTCCTCGGCAGCCATATCTACAAAATATAAAACACATGTAACGTTTACCGTTAGTAGGAGTCATGGAAGGAGTGACCTGAAGTAAGATAAATATTTTCCTTCTGTTTCTTTTTGTCGAGGTTAAAGTTATAACCAAATTGAAAAATAAAGCTACCTTTCTTCGCTCGGAGAATTCTTCCTAGACGCTGTGCTTCCTAAGAAAATAAATAAATAAATAAAGGAATGAATACTACTAAAAATTATTAAAATAGAGACAAGAACGCTCTTACAGCGACGTTTAGTCTCTCTTGCTTGGAGATTAGATCGAGAAATAAGAGGGCGATTAATTCTACACGAAACAGGATTTACTCTCTAAAGGTTTTTCACTTCCTACTTTATCGTCGTCGATTCTTTTTATTTGTTTCTAAACTGATTTAGTAAGCGTGTTAGCGACGACCAGAAATACGTCTGAGGTCGCAGGCTATACGCGTGTATAAATACACGAAAATTCAAGAGCCTCGACTCTTGAGAAATAACATCATTGCCAGAGATCAAAGAAGTGATTTACATGGCACGTCATTTCAATCACCGCTGAAAATAAACCGCACGCTCATCAAAAGAACTATTTGCATACAATGACCATCGCAGCTTTGCTAATCAAGATTATTGTTGTTTTTTTTTCCAACCACTCAGTAGTATTCACTTGTTCCGAAGTAATCAACACTTTGAAGCGATAGAATTCGTGGACCGACACGTTTCGGAAAAGCTCTAAATTTAATTCGCAAAACATGCGTGGCCTCGATCACGCAACGATTCCTGTTTCCAGTTTCCACGGTCTCCGCAAGGAACGCCTGGCACAATGATCCCCCCTTTTGTGTCCTAAATGTGAACAAAAACGTGTTGCAGATTATGAGGCTCGCTGCTTACGCAAGCGAGACTAACAAAGACAATAGAAAGAGCAGAGTTAAAAATTGTAAATATTTAACTGCACCTGTACAAGTAACGGTTTCCTCGTTTAAGAAAAGAAGAAATGAAAGGATCTAATTATGCCACAAAAACACAGACCACTATAAAATTCAAATTACAGGAAATGTCTACATGCTTAATTTGTTAACGGAGAGGGGAAGTCAAGATATGATAAACCACCTCTTAACTCTGAACATAAAGGAGAACGTAACTCAGTGAAAAATAAGTAACCGCACTAACCTGTCTTCTGGAGCCACCGTGTGAAGAAATCTGACAAAAAAGCAAATAGAGATGAAAATCATTTACTGTCTGAATTCAAACTCAATTGACATAATTAACTGTGCACATTTTACCTGAATCAGGACATTTGCTTCAGGGAGATCAAAAGAATTATCCCCAACCTGGAAATTAAACAAAAATAATGATATGTGATATGTCGGCTTATCCATTACATTTCTAAGGCGCCGTCCACAAGAATGCGTTTTACATTTCCACGCCTTTAGGCCTTCCGTCCACATTAATACGATGAACCTTTTCATCGTAAACGATTTGAAAACGCTCTTGAATGTAGCTAAAAAAGCGTACATATCGTATTAATGTGGACGGTCGAAAACGCATCCTCGGAGACTCAGGGGCAGTCAGTCGGGTCGGGAGAAAAGGCGGGACGAAAGTTTTCAAGTACGGGCAAAAGAGCCCCTGGGTACCGACTCTCACCGAACTATTTCCAAAAATTCAAGCTGATGCCGGCTCCTGATTGGGCACAAAAAATGCTTTGTATTATTGTGCCCAGTCGGCGATCAGTAACTCCTGAGTTCTTTTCGTGAGTTCGTACACGACGGCTATTGTCTCGCCACACTTGCCCGGTTCGTTCACCAAACTTGTGCGTGCAAGGGAAATTTTTATTTTCTACTTTCCTAATCAGAAACGAAGGAACTACCGATAAGTCGTAACAACGTTTGGGATGCTATCAGCGGAGCAATTCAATTTTTCCCGAGGATATTCTCTTTTTGACGGATCACAATGTATCGTAAATAACAGCAAGTTTCAGATGCGGCGGCGACGAGAAAGTCAAATACACGACTGCCCGTGAAAATGCCTAATTTCACCTTTTCTCAAGGACGTAAACAAGCAATGACAAAATTCATTCTCTTCATGAACTTGGATATGGTGGATAGAAATTCAGCTCCAGAAGAGTTCGCTTGCATTAGACAAAATAAGCGAGTTGGAATAATCACGAGAGAGACTGAAAAAATGTGAATTCACTTTTCCATGCGACGTTTTCGTGGTCGTCAGCCGTCGTGGTATCTTTTAAAAATTCCTTAACATTTACGCAAGACGTGACCGACGCAAGCGTGCATGAATACCTGTTGTAAGCTCAAGCTTGTATTTCTAGAAAAGCATCTTTGGTTTTCGGGCAGACAGTATTTTGAAATCAGATGCAGGGTATTCGAACTCCGCCGGCAACCGGCGCTATCACCGGCTACTTTGAGGTTTTTGCTGCCTGTAGCCTGGGAAACACACATCACTGGTGATATGCGTTCCCCTACCTCGGAAACAAATATCCCTAGTCATATGTGTTCCCTACCTGGGAAACAAATATCCCTAGTGATATGTGTTCCCCCCCCTGGGAAACAGGTATCGCTAGTGATATGTGNCACGACTGCCCGTGAAAATGCCTAATTTCACCTTTTCTCAAGGACGTAAACAAGCAATGACAAAATTCATTCTCTTCATGAACTTGGATATGGTGGATAGAAATTCAGCTCCAGAAGAGTTCGCTTGCATTAGACAAAATAAGCGAGTTGGAATAATCACGAGAGAGACTGAAAAAATGTGAATTCACTTTTCCATGCGACGTTTTCGTGGTCGTCAGCCGTCGTGGTATCTTTTAAAAATTCCTTAACATTTACGCAAGACGTGACCGACGCAAGCGTGCATGAATACCTGTTGTAAGCTCAAGCTTGTATTTCTAGAAAAGCATCTTTGGTTTTCGGGCAGACAGTATTTTGAAATCAGATGCAGGGTATTCGAACTCCGCCGGCAACCGGCGCTATCACCGGCTACTTTGAGGTTTTTGCTGCCTGTAGCCTGGGAAACACACATCACTGGTGATATGCGTTCCCCTACCTCGGAAACAAATATCCCTAGTCATATGTGTTCCCTACCTGGGAAACAAATATCCCTAGTGATATGTGTTCCCCCCCCTGGGAAACAGGTATCGCTAGTGATATGTGTTCCCCTACCTGGGAAACACATATCCCTAGTGATATGTGTTCCCCCATCTGGGAAACACGTATCCCTATACCCCTAGTGATATGTGTTCCCCCACCGGGGAAACACATATCCCTGGTAATTTGTGTTCCACCAGGTGGGAAACACGTATCCCTAGTGATATGTGTTGCCCCAACTGGGAAACACATATCCCTAGTAACATGTGTTCTCCCACGTGGGAAAAACGTATCCCTAATGATATGTGTTCCCCCACCTGGGAAACACAAATCCCTAGTGATTTATGTTCCCCTTCCTGGGAAACACATATCTCTAGTGATATGTGTTCCCCCACCTGGGAAACACGTATCGCTAGTGATATGTGTTCCCCTACCTGGGAAACACATATCCCTAGTAATACGCGTTCCACCATCTGGGAAACACGTATCCCTAGTGATATGTGTTCCTCCACCTGGGAACACATATCCCTAGTAATTTGTGTTCCCCCAAGTGGGAAACACGTATCCCTGGTGATATGTGTTCCCCCACCTGGGAAACACGTATCCCTAGTGATTTATGTTCCCCTTCCTGGCAAACATATATCCCTAGTGATGTGTGTTCCCCTACCTGGGAGACACGTATCTCTAGTGATATGTGTTCCCCCACCTGGGAAACAGATATCCCTAGTGACATGTCTTCCCCTACCTATGAAACACATATCCCTAGTGATATGTGTTCCCCCACCGGGGAAACACGTATCCTTGGTGACTTATTTCCCCCTTCCTGGGAAACACATATCCCTAGTGATATATGTTCCCCCAAGCGGGAAACACGTATCCCTAGTGATATGTGTTCCCCTACCTGGGAAAAACATATCCCTAGTGATATGTGTTCTCCTACCTGGGAGACACGTATCTCTAGTGATATATTTCCCCTACCTGGGAAACACATATCCCTAGTGATATGTGTTCCCCCACCTGGGAAACAGATATCCCTGGTGATATGTGTTCCTCTACCTGGGAAACACATATCCCTAGAGATATGTTTGCCCCCACCTAAGAAACCCGTATCCCTAGTGATTTATGTTCCTCTTCCTGGGAAACACATATCCCTAGTGATATGTGTTCCCCTAAACATATCAGTAGGGATATGTGTTCCCCCACCTGGGAAACACGTATCCCTAGTGATTTATGTTCCCCTTCCTGGCAAACATATATCCCTAGTGATGTGTGTTCCCCTACCTGGGAAACACGTATCCCTAGTGATATGTGTTCCCCCACCTGGGAAACACATATCCCTAGTAACATGTGTTTCCTTACCTGGGAAACACGTATCCCTAGTGATTTATGTTCCCCTTCGTGGGAAACACATCCCTAGTGATATGTGTTCCCCCATCTGGGAAACATGTATCCCTAGTGATATGTGTTCCCCTTCCTGGGAAACACATATCCCTAGTGATATGTGTTCCCCTACCTGGGAAACACATATCCCTAGTGATATGTGTTCCCCTACCTGGGAGATACGTATCTCTAGTGATATATCCCTAGTAATATGTGTTCCCCCACCTGGGAAACACATATCCCTTTTGATACGTGTTTTTGATACGTCTTTTGATACGTGTGGGGGAACACATATCCGTTGTGATATGTGTTCCCCTACTCCTGAAACCCACATCCCTAGTGATATGAGTTCCCCTAACTGGGAAACACATATCCCTGGTGATATGTGTTCCCCTACCTCCGAAACACATTCCTAGTGATATGTCTTCTCCTGCCTGGGAAACACATAGCCCTAGTGATATGTGTTCCTCGACCTGATCGAACCATTTGTTTTGTGGTTTGCATTTAATTTTGCTGCCTCTCGCTTTTCATCCGGCTTCTTTGCATGCTTCCACCAAAGTTTTACTTAGTAA